GGACTTCGCTAGAGCAATGCAGTTAAATGCTGCATCGCCATGTGTGTCTGTGTGAAGCACGCACCCTAGCCTAAGCTATGTTTAAGCTATGTATTTAATGTCTTCAAATGTAACTAAAGTTTTGAAATGTACTGAAATTATTATGACTTAAAATTCGACCTTTACTCGTAACTGAATTAAATGATTTGATCGTGTTTTAACAAGCCTTCAGAAATATTTTCGTTTGTATTTTTTCTTATTCAATGAATATCTATAAATATTATATTTCAATTGTAATAAGTATCTACTAACTACATGAGAATATTTTATTGAACCTTACTTGATCTTTACTTTAAAAATGTAATTTGAATAACATTGACAAAAATAATTATTATTTATTTATTATTATTTTTTACGATAAAATAAATTTTATAAATTAAACCATCTGTAAATAAATCTTTATTAACTCTTTAATTGCCTTAATCGCAATAGCATACAATTAAACAATAAGTCCCTATATCCGTGTAGGTAATCTGAAATAATTCTTATCGTAACTGCATTCTTATCAAAATTGACACAGAAACACGTTTAATAGCCAAATTAAAATACAATTATTTTTAATAAAATTTTATCACAAGATACCTAGACCCAGACCGTCAAATGCGACAAGAATCACGTAAACAGCGACCAGGAACGCATTTTCACATACCTTCAGGATCCGGTTGTTGCCACATGTATTTATTTGAACAAGCTATTGCGTAAGAGCATGTGTGAGTTTACGTCCCAATCGCGATCGACGTCGTATCCGTGACGTAATGGCGCATGCCGGGCCCTCTAAATTAAACAATCGGTTTTTTGCACCCTTTATCACGGGAGCGCCGACCGGCCACATAAAAGCCGTGGAAATCCGTTCAGGACACACATTACACGTAACGCGGCGAACTGAACGTATCCGCTCGCGAGATCGTCCTGAACTCGACTCTAACGCGACGCCCGTTAATCACATAAATTAAATTCAATAAACAGAATACGCACGTGTATTACACCTGTTCCAAATTTGAATTGTGAAGTGATAGTGAACTTTTTTTTCATAAGTGACAGTTGTTGTGACAGTTTATGCCAAAGATTTTATTTTTATTATGATCTGTGATAAATCGATTGATATAAAAATGATCGATACGTGCACTTGTTGCTGCAACGGATGTTCCTCAAGGAGACAAGGATATACTTATAGATATAGTAAGTATCTGTTTTGTTTTATTATGTTTTCTTATCTAAATGAAATATTGATAATTTATAGATCGATAAAGGCTATTAACAAATGTCATAGCGCGTACTCATTAATCGATTTATTTATGCTGTAGTGACTTTTAGCAATAGAAAGTCTTGATGACTTACCCCTATGTAGGATGACTTGAATGATGATCTAATCATAGAGAGTCATCAACAGGTGATAAAATATTCAAACTGCATACTTACAACTCCAGTTTGTAAGAACTTAATTATATCAGTGACCTAATATTACTAGTGAAGGAAGTGATATTTTTATCTTTTCCATTATTTGATATACTTCCGAGGACTTTATTTATTGTGACACCTTTTTCTATTGTATAATGCGTAATCCCAACACTAGTAGTGTAGATAAGCAATAATTGACTATTCGACATTCAAATCTTATTTAAACATCGAACGTAGTAGTATTTGAAAAATAAACAAAAACAAAATGAGGTCGGAAATGTTTTCTAGATAAAATCACTATTATTAAAGTTTTTATGCTAGACGATCTCAATAACACTAAATAATCGGGTTACATAATTTTGACTTCATAGATAAATAAATCGGTTACCTCAATCGACTATTAGTCATTCGATAATAATTAGTGAAAAGAAGCCATCGAATCAAAAACAACTGCATAATTTAAAATAGTTTATTTATATTATTATATCTCAAGGTAAAAGCGCTTCTATTGTTAATATCACTTACACTCATCGATAAGCTAAAGCTGACACCTGGCTGTCATTCAATTATGTAAATGTCGATAAAACGACTATTGATACTAAATCTCCCGTTTATTCGATTCCCGTTTAGCCACAACACTCAATGGTATTTACTGTGAATTACGCACAAATTGAAACCTGTCTAGGACCACATTGCATTTTATCAACGCTTTTCTTACATACTGAATGGCGTTATCCATTTTGAAGACACAGTATGAGACATTTAGTACCGCGTCACTCGTATACCGAACATTCCTGAGTCGCCTATTGAGTATTTATTTTAGTCTGTGTCATGAAAGGGGTTAAGGGTACGTGCACAATGAGTAAAAGCTTTCGAATTGCACGCACAACGTGTGATTTATATTGCGGCTCGCAAACAATGCCATTTCGCGTATTGGCAATGTCTAGGCGGCCGCAGGCGGACTCTGTCGCGGAAGCTAGTCTTTAAGTTTACGGTAAACTTAAATTAGCTGCTGAAACTATGTTGGTAAAGGAATTTTACGGTAGATTATCTGCTACGCGTATCCATCCGATGTAATAACGTACACACAGCAACAAAGTCTGCTAGACATCACGAACACCGCTATAAATAATATTAATCCAGCCTTTATCTTACCACCGAACTTGATCTTGAACAATAATTAACTATCATAATTTGCATCCGCCTCTATTCAGGTCAGTATCATGGCAGAGCACTTTAGATTTCAACAAAAAAGCTATTTATGCAGCAATAGCAAACCTTTTATCAGTAATTTTAAAGCCACACTTTTTTAAAAGAGAAACAAATCATCATAAGAGACGTAACGGACGCCGCGGCTGAACGATGGATGGATAATATTTGCTTAAAACAACCTGCAACGTATCAACGTAGTAGTATTAGAAGTTAAATATATTCACTACTAGCGAGCACACGTTACTCTGCCCGTTATATATTTTACGAAATACATCTACATAACGTTCATATTTACAAACATATTTTATGGCTCCCACTACGAAACAAAACGCCACGCCACTCCGCGTTCAACACTCATAAATCGTGAAAACTTTCTGACAACCTCTACAGCAATTTTCTATCTTACGTCTTACAAACAGACGGACAATTTTTCTGTAAATTTTACATCAATTGTTTAATGGTCAGGTATCGCGTAAATAATGGAAATGTGAAAAAAAACGAATTACGGAAAAGCAAATTTTATTTGTAAGTATAGATCACTGTGTAGCACTTAAAATTCAATATTTGTGACATGACGAATCGTTTTATATTACACGGATCTAACGACTTTCTATGGGGAGTGAGTAATGGTGAGCTCATGCGACACGGTCTTGTGGGCTTTCAGGAGGCCGTCAGTATCGCGAACGAATTTACTGTAGCGAAAAATTCGGGAAATCCGTGAGTCATTCATGAGACAAGCGCCGGAAAAGCCTATTTCCATTATAGAGTATCTTCATATAAAAACGCTAATCTTGTAATAAATGTAAGTCATGTTATTATGTCAGTAATCGGAAACGATCGCGATGGGAATCTCCTTTGTATTGATGGGAGAAAAATTGTAAGCGCTAACTAGGTCACTCGGCCTCCGCGCTAGTGATAGTGACGTAGCCGGTACATAAATCACGTCACCGAGCTCTGAAACTTATGTAATCATGTTTTATTTATTGCATTTATAATTATTTGTAACTTTCCAGTTATTATATACATTCATATTATTGTACAAAATTAAAAATAAACATGGATCTAAAAATAACGAAAAAATCACAAATGATCAGGTATTGACACTATCACTAAGCAGAGGTACGATGGCATCGCTTTGTTAACCACGAAACAAAAAACGTGTCAATGTAAACATTGAGACGCTCGCTCATATCTCTAAACCGCAGGCTACATGCCACGAAAATCGCCCACGAGCACATTTTAGAACGACCAGTACATCAACAAGATGTGAAGACGATTTCTTATCTGCACCGAAGGATTTGTTTGACCGACGTCGCACGTAGGTTCACCATCTATGTCAGCTTCTTTCCCAGACTTGGCACACTTTTTACTCACAGTTTACTTTCTTTTGTAGTCCTTGGACTCTTTCACTTATTTCTCATGATGACCAGTCATTGACAAGTGAAAAAGAAAACGAAAGTTGTTTATAAATCAAACAACCTCTAAATCTAGGCGCTCATTTACATAAACTCGTTATTGTAGCTATTAGCCATCAGTTTAATAGGATAGTTGCTAACAATGTCTCATGTGGTATCGTGAAGTACCAGCAAAGTAATCATTGACTTTAATTATTTTATGACACCTACGCAATAATAATAAAAACAATGGCCATAACAATTTCGAGTGCCTAATAGTCGCGTGTATTTGATATAATTAATTAGATTGCTAAGGGTTTAGTATTGTGTCGGCGCGGCGCGACTAATGCCCGATAAAAACTTACTTTAGGTTAGACTCATCGATGATTCACCAGCGAGGTCTAACCGAATAAATGTTCACTTGCACAAGATGTGGAAACAGACGTCCATGGAGACGCGCCTATACTTTAGATTATTTTTATATCATAATTACATAACTAATTTATATTCTATAACAATATTATTAACATTTTTCTACTTAATATTTCAAAAATAATTTTATTTTCTAGTGTAGCCTCGCTGTCTAAAGTGCATGAATATCATGACTAACCACCTCATTAAATCAAGATCGATAACAAGACTAAAATCTCGAGTCGTTTGTCCGATAATGAAATAGATAGTAGGAATTCCTTAATTTCGCAACTTCATGTAATTGTATGATGCCATCGATTCATGAACAATAGCAAATGTTAATAATGATGAAAGTTGTAATTTAAATGGGTAACAATTTTTGAAACCGGAAAATATTGGTGAAGTTGGAAAAGTTGTAGGTGCAAGGAAGTCTCCGTGAGGGTCGAAGTTCACTTTCCGGCGGGCGGGTAAGGGATTTCGCATAGTGTTTGACCGGCTATTTGACGTACGGTGCCGCATTTCGGTGCCCATTCAACGAGCGGAGGCTGCTCGCGCGCCGGTCTCGCACACTCGCTGCTCGCACCACTCCGGTGACACACGCTCGACAACACAACACTTTATAAATCCAGTGCTAATATTCATACAGTACTAGTGACTTCCAAACTCGAACATTGTGTTTTTTTAGTGTTGACAGTTCGCGAGTGTTTCGTTCCTGCGGCCAGTGACAATTAGTTTGGTTGGAAAGTTCTTATGTCATTTTCCGACATTTCGTTTATCGGGAATATTTTGTTCGCATGAACATGGACTTGCCCAAAGGAGCTACATCAATGCGTTGTTCATGGATGTCTTTTTAACTGGTGTGTGTTTGTATTCTCATTTTAATTCAAAGCTTTAACGCCTACCTCGTCTTAATTACTTGTTTGACGAATTCAAGTGTGCGGCTCATTCGCGCGTAGAATGTAAACAATTGACATTCATTTTGTGGGTAAGCTTAAATGAACGCAAACTAATAAAGCTATCGTATTACCGTCTACACAGATTTATTGAGTTAAGATTCTTCTCGACTCTTAATTATTTATTTTATTTACGACATTAAAAAAGTAAACATTGAAAGGAGATTATTCAAATATGCAGACCAAATTATGGGCAATAACGATTTCATTTCCTTTATATCGTAATATCTGTAATTTAAAACTTCATTTAATTTCATCGATTATAATAATGCGGGAGCTTGTATTTATTACCTATAAGCAACAATAAATAAACTACAATTTATATTAGTAGTAATTTAGCCTACGTAACTTCCTTAGAGAGAAACATATGTTTGCGCTCAAATCTTGATTCACATAAGGTGCAATGAGACATGAGTAAATGCGGCATAAAAATTATCGTCGAAGCTAATTCGCTGATCATTTTTGGAAGCACGATGTATCAAGAATCGAATGCGGTGCGCGGATCGTGTGAGAATGTTCAACATTCGGCCGTCGGCAATCGATCAAAGGGTTTCTTCGCTGAAACACGCTCGCGATGTCATCCGATACAGACAAGCTTTGCTGTCTGTGTCCCTAACATTTGATCGCACAGTCCACTTTGTTATAACATCAATAATTGTTTAATTTATCCAAAGTTGTATCGTGTTACAACTAACTTAATGACACGAAATTTTGTAAACAGTAATAACCCCCATACAAGATTCCAATTTGAAAATCGTGAGAGAACACAATTGCTACGAACTAATATTATGTTAGGTAACATAAGGACTTGGTTTTGTTGTGAATATAACAAATCAATCATGGCCCGCCGTCATTAAAAATCTAAAACTTTTTACTAAAAATCCATCTCCTTTTTGTAGACGTCGGTTTAAAAATTATAATGCATGTTTAAAAATGATGTGGTTATGTATTATTTATATATTTACTCGAGGTTATTCGAATATAAATGATTGTCTAGATCACCAACGGTTGGGAAAACCCGCGGTGGAAAAGTCACAGTCCGTCCCCGGTTTTCGCGGTAACAATTATGTACGTTAGCATTGTTTGATGATCTCGTCAATGTAGACATCGCTACTGACCACTCACAATGGTCACAGACTAAAATAATTGTAACACAGCGGCTCCGCCACAACACAGAGTGTCAAGTTTTTACTCGACTTTTTTATCACATATGGACACGTTACGCTGTATTTACTTAACATACATTATATTGTCAACGACACGAATTGACCTAATGATTCACTGCCCATAAACCTCGGTTTATCCTCATGTGACGTAATACTAAAGTGTAAACTCACTGTAACATTCAGTCGATGTGATAATAGACGTAACGTGTTGGATTTGTTATTCTGAAAAACCGCACGGGACTAAATATAATAACTATCAGTGACCGCACCATCAATCTTGTTGTGGTCACAGGTTTCTGAGCACACGTTAAAAACATCACGACAAACGAACGGGCAGCGGTAACTAATCAAATGTTTAATTTTTCAAACAAAGTATGATCCCGCCTATTCTGCCTACTTAACGTCGGTACATTTTCTTTGAGGACACACAACGCAACTAATAAAAACTGCAACAAGTACTTTCTATGTTTTAGCACTCCAACTGAACAAAGCTGCGCTTTCAAAGCCAGTGGTGCTTCCTTTTAAAAGTTTGAAAACATCGCCTCTACAGGCTCTACAGAATTGCTTGGGACATAAAATATATTTTATGGCGTCGGCGCGAAACATCAAAACCTTCAATAACTGTCAAACGTTAAATCGAACAAGGCGAAATATATGTATATTTGTGTAATAACATTAACAATGGGCGTGACACTTTCTGCTTATGCGCATGACGACAAAATAATTACATGTCACACATAATCTTAGAAATAGTAGATAATATTCATTAGTGAATCATTTCATCTTGTCTTGACTTGTCAATTGGGACGGTATATCGATAAAATTATTCATCAATAAATTATTATCATTTGGATAAGTCATAACGTATATAACTGGTACAAAAATCAGACAATTTCCCACAAGCCGAAATTGATTACAAAAATCACGTCCGCCACACGCATCCCACCCCGGGCTAATGGTCGGTGTGAAAGTGCTCGGAGATGAAGATCGTACAGACGTGTATGTAGCAACGTTACCATAATCACGCACCTTATTATTTTTTATGTGACCCCACGGATACCACTCTGAAGTCAACAATCCCACAGAAATTCGTTCCTCAACGTGCATGATTTTTTTCCCAAATTATGCAACACATTCAAGGAATCTTCTTACAAAATCCGAACTGACTCGAAACGTGAGCAAGTCACAAACAGCGTCTGTTTGAAAATATGTTATGTCCCTTTATCGATTATTTTCATAACAATTGTGAAGATAATAATGATATCATTGCAATAAAGATAACAGAAGTTATTGCATTATGATAGTAACAATGCATTTTTTGTTGCAGGTTTTCCCAAAAAGCTTTTGGTAGCTACAACAGTACTAGTAGTTATAGCAATGATTGTGATGCCATCCGAAGCGCGGACGTTAGAACACAAAATTAGGCATGAGAGGCGACAGCATGAGGCGTTAGCACCAACCAAAGACGTGAGGATGAAGCTAGAGAGCCGCGTGGTGGAACACAGGAGACGGCCGCACAGAAAGCAAACCGTCCTGCCTCAAGCCAAAGACACAGAAAACGTCAGACAGAAAAACGTCCAATCAGATCGCTTCAAGACCGCAACGAGAAAAATCACAAAAAAGTTGACGAACACGAGGAGGTTCTTCATCGAGGAGCGAAAAGTCCTGAACGAGACGCGGGAGTACAGGGACGGCATGCCTGACTGGCTGCCCACCATCAACTTCGTCGACATTCACTTCTACAACTACAAAAAACGTGGCGCGACCATGTCTGAACGCAAAGTGAGTATCTTTTTGCACTGATTAATTATATACCTTAAGTTTTTGCCTTGACAGTAACACAAGTTCGAAAGCAGTCTATCATTATATTAATAGGTTTAAAGTATCATAATAATCACACAATTCAATGTATGTATAGACATCTATGATGCAAGAAATATCAAATAGTATAGATAAGATTGTTTCTGCTTCCATTTAACAAATGACCTCATTGAATTATCGACAAGTTTTAGCACGTTAGTACGGATCTGAATAACACTCTAAATTAAAAATCTTGTCGTTTTCGGTGAATGTGATGCAAACTGTTACAATTAATCGCAATACATTATTACGTTTGATGTAATTTTTGTGCAACTGACAGTGTAATTATTACGGGCGATCACTCGCGTCGAGGGTGTGGTGGTCCGGCCCATCACTCTTTTTGCCCGTTCAATGTTTTTACATTATTTTTAATTTATTTTTGCTTTATTTGCGACAAAGGATCCCCGGGTACATTAGCCGTGCTCGAGGCTTCACCGTTGCAACTTAAATGAGGTTCCGACGATCCAAATTACATGTGGTCGGCCTTTGTACCGCGTTTATTTACTTCACATTGTACTTAAGGGCAATAACTAGATGTGCAAGCCCTTAATTTTCAAAAGCCGCACTCGTTTGAAAATCGCAGTATCTTTTAGTCCTTTATAAACTTCATCACTGAGCAGGAAATCATTTAAATAACATCATAATTTCTTAAATTATTTTCTATTGCAAGTGTTTATTCATAAATGTGATATTTGTATCCCTAAAAATAAACAATTAATGATTGGAATTAATTAGCAATAAATGAAAACATCACGAAACCCACACCATATAAAATTATCACCCTCTAATCTAGATGATGGCTTCGAAAAAAGATGACGCCGCCCACAATTCATTACCAAGAGAACTTGACCCCCAATCATCGGTTTACTCGTATTCTTAAATAACACATTCATCTGCAGCTAGTGGTTCATTTAATACTGGCGATATATAAATCAGAGGCTTATGGTTAGCGCTTGTGGGAGCAGAGCAAACTAAGGAGCCAGTTAAATGTTTCAAGGAAATTTGCATAGATTGACACCGCATGATTTCGCTCCGCACACGCGATCCTAAAACCATGGCTCAACACGCATCCTACACGTAGGTATCTCAGCAGAACACCTTATAATTATGATAAAAATTGTATTAAGTTCATCGGCTGCCCGTACCGGTTTCGGTTCGTAAAAATATAAACACACAAGCAATATTTAACGAGCCTTCTATAAGCCTCTCTTTATTATTTACCGAACACACATCTGGAGTTCGAGACTTTCTGTTATGTATTCATATTGGTCACCCACTAATTAGTACACAAAAGTTAATGCGACGCGAGACAATAAGTGTGTGTGCATTCGAAGCGTCACATGTCCTTACACACTCGACGCCGGCCGCGTCTGCGAGTCGGAGACCAAATAATTTCCTAACATAGCGGCCCGCAGACGACCAGTGCACCAACCGATGAATATTAAATATTTCTTACCTATGTCTCGCCAGCCAGTCAATGTACGGCCACTTAAGAAATTTAAATATTTGACATTGGGCAAAGGAAAGCGTTAGAATTCAAGTGATCTCTACGCTCCGGCTTTAGTTGACATACGAACAATTTAAAAATTAAATACTGCTCAAATGAGACGTTAAAATAGAGGGCCCGAAGAAAGACTAATGTGGACACACAATATTCATGTTGGTTTAATTTATCGGGCCCTCCAAGTTTCCACGTTAAAGCTTTTGAGTGAAGAGCCCTGTGGATAATTCCGAAGGATACTTTTAATTTGTAGTGGATTTATTTTCACACAATTCCGCGAGTCACGGCGCGGCCGGTATTTTCAGTGTTTGAATAAAGGGCAGAAATTCCACAAGTTGGAACACGGTGCGCTTTCACAGTGACAAGAGGCCGGGGCTTTAGCGGTCGCTCGGTGCTAGTGTTTGTACAGTATTTACGATTTAACAAAACAACACGAAATGTTAAAAACACATTATTTGTCCAAGTGAGACGAATGTGAACTTACGATTCCGGAGTGGCGCGTTTGTCTGCGACACGTCTCGGAGGTTAAGCTCGCCTCTTTAAGGCAAATGTACGGCTTATTGTCGGGTTTTCAGGCTTTTAATACACGACCATATTTGCTCACACAGCCCGACGCTTTTATTATCGTTCGCTCCGACAATTTCTTCGGCGTCGCGCCTTCACAATAGTTGGGAAAACGCAACGACATGTACTCAATGCTTTTATGAACCGTAAAATATTAACGATTAATTTTAGAATCGATTGTTTATTGCCTTCTAAATACTCGGGGAATTAAATAAAGTCTGTATACAAGGACTGGTATCTTTACGTTTCATAAGGTTGCCTATATGGTGTTGACGAGCGCAATAATAATAGAATTTCAATTCGGTATTTCCTGCCTCCATTCGAGAGCCAGACACAAAATTACCTACTGACTATCCAAATTAAAACAATATGTTAAAATATTGGCTAGACAGCAGCTGAAGTGAATCACTCATTCATTCAGTGGGTACTTTAGAAGAGGAAGCTGGTGACATACGAATCGACACAAACAAAAGCCGAACGTCTCAGGTTCATGTTCCTGGAACAATGAGTGATGAGATGAGTTCATTCATTAGCCGCTAAGTGGAAGCAGGAAGAATCGCACGCTAATGTTAGTCATATTAATTTTACGTTATATTCAGGACAAATAAATGGAATTAATATAATATAGTTACAATGCCATAAATATTAGGTATCAAGGAATTAGACGGACATTGCATTCCACAAATATTTTGTTACAAAATATGTACGCGTGGTGACATGTGCTGAATGACTGAATGAATAGTGGCAGATGATTAAATACAATTAAAAACTGACATGCATTAAAACACAGTCTATATTATTTCAAAACTTATTCTTAATGGATTAATTACATATATATTAATTATATTTATATTCACTTACTCTACTTAATAGATTATATTAAAAACACAAGAAAATAAAAGCAACTATAGACATTAATAGAGAAATATAAATATGTCGCATTTTTAAAGGACAATAATAAACGATCCATTACAAGTATCGAGGTTAACCGGCTGGTCAGGTACTTATATACAGGTCGTTGTAAACGCATCATTGTCTATAAAGAAACGTGATGTGTTTCAGTGATAGAACAACAAAAAGAGATGGAAATAAAAACAAAGACAAAGTAAAAGTTGATATCAATTCTAATACAGATGCAAGAAACATAAAAGATGAAATAAACAACAATTTTAATAAAACAAATGTTAAAAGTAAAGACTATAATAATAATACGGTTATAGCACATGATATAATGGCTTAAGATATAAATGGAGTAGAAAATATTGATGCATGCGCTTGATAAAGGCTGGTCATTGATAACTGCGTGTCTCAGCTACGCCCACACTCAATGGTATGTGACACTGAACTACTTGATGAAAGCTTCTTCAAGCAAAACCAAACAAATCAACAATCTAAGTAGCTAATTAATACAAAACATTTGAAGTGGTTACGATCAAATTTATTATATGACAGTTGAATATTTGTACAAATCAACGATACGAATAATGTCAATATTATTATAATAATCTAGAATTCCAACCTTTGCCAATAAACTATGACAACCATGTAGCAACACTCGATTATGTCATTCAACTACATCTACCTAGTCTATTACAATTCTTTACGTAATTATTTAAAGCAACTCACATACAATTACATGATTTATTGCATCTCAAAATAAACGTTTAATGCAACGCTTAAGAACGCCATTGTTTGCAACCACAATCTTATAATAATATTGTTAATATTTTATGAGATCGTAAAAATCTAATTTGGCTATACCCACCGTTAAGTTTAGGATATAACAAAACTGCATTGAAGCTCACGTCCTCATCCTTTTAAAATAATCGGTCCATTTCAAAACCAAATGTCCATTAATAGTGTGCGGTTAATAATTGAATATTATTACTAAGGATAACAGCGGACTTTGAATTTCAAATCTCAGTACATTACATTTTTGCATTGTTTCGTAATAAAGAAAATGGCAACGCGTTCCAGGCACCAAGTTATAAATATGAGGACACAGTCGTGCCGCGTATAATAGATAATGGTCGAGAAAGTGTCATTAAAACGAATTGTTAAGTAAAATTTCATCAATACGCTATTGAAACAAACACATATAGTATGATTGTAGTGTTAATAGCGTCATTTGAATAGTCATACCGATCACAAATGCCCACGGCGCTGTAGCCTCGACACGAATTTGCTGCGACGTAAACTATCCTCGATGTGACGCGCTTAATTCACACATAAGCTTCTTCGCACTCTGACCCTTTTAATAGACAGTTATACAACTGTAAAAGTCTTAATGTTTCTATAAATTTACTTGCGTATTTAATTTCCTTTACATTTGCATTACATGATCATTAAAACTCTTGGGAAAACGTTAACAGCCGCGTAATACCTATAGGGTCAATACTGATGCCACTTACAAATCTATTAAGATAAAAAACTGAATGCTTTTATAATAGTTTTGCATCAGAATAGATAAACCCACAACTTTCCGATAAAAAATGTCCAACGTTCATTACGTCGACTTTGTGACGTAAACACAATTACGTTTGGGTATAATCGTAACAAACAATGAGCGTATTATCAATGACCGTTGTATCAGGGATTTCATTCATTACTATCATTTGTAAATTCCAATTAGCTGAGCTATTAGCATTCGTCATTAACAATGCTACAGTTCCTTCTCGATCAATGTACTAAATACTTGTTTCTTTTTGTTACAGTTCGCGTACCTGATGCCAAAACTTTACAAGTCGCTTGTAGAGTACCAAGATATCTTCAAACTGCTCATCAAAGTAGAAGTTGAATTCGCCGACGATCCTTTCTGCTCGTACAACAAAACCCGCCACGAATTAATAGGGAAGACTCTTCATAGATTATACAGTACTATAGCCGAAGTAAGGGAGAATATGGTGTCTGTAAATATACCAGTGCCTCAAGTTAGCAAAAACAAGAACTTACAAGTTTTAGAAAAGAAGGTTGATGCGCCCCAGTGTTTGAAGAACGACTACATAGCGTTCAGAGCGTACGGCAACCTTCTCAACAACTGGTACTCAGAATTCAGGTGTCCCCGAGGCAAGAAAGTTATCAGGAATAACAGCAAATGTGCCGACTACGAGGCCAAACTAAAAGAAAAGAAAGATAAAAGATATAAGAACACTGAAAGATGAACGAGTTAGTTGATTGTTGTGACTTAAGATAATCTTCGCTTCGACTAATTATTTATTTAAATTACAATCGATGTAGTCCCCTGTTGTACTTATTTATTGGTAGGTCCGTAACGCACGCTCTCTAACACCAGTCGTTGGTTGTATTCGAAGTGCTTGACGAAACAATTGTTGATTAAGTATTGGGTACTTTCTCTGTGATATTTAGTATTCTGTAGATATTAATCATTAATTTATTGAAAGTTTTAGCTTGTAAGCCTTTCTGTTCAGTTCCTTTGTACTTAACTGTTATATTATTCTGTTTCATGTTACGACGAAACTATATTAATAAGTTGATCTTAATTTATTGGAATTTAACCGACAGTATTTATTTAATTTATACTAATAATCTCTTTATTTCAATTGCTGAAATGGAATCTGATTTGTATGCTGTGCATTAACTAAAATGACTTAATATTTCTCTTATTATATCTCGAGTATTATTAGCAGGCAAAACATGCCGTTTTAGCCAAGAAAGACTTTTAGCCTTATATAGTAAGTTGCTTATTTATGTATTGAGTAAGTTATATATAAGTCCCTATGTATAGAAATGTGCCGTTAGATGTTAGTGAATAATGAACTGAATACCATGTGAATATTACCTATGTTTTATATACGAATTGCATAATTTTCCAATGCAAAATTTGTTACTAAATGTGAAATATAAGTACATGATTTAAATAATAAAATGAAATAAATGGATTCAATCACGTAAGCTTGTGTTTACTTCATCGACTTTCCCCTTTACACACGATCTGTTGAAAGGAAATCTAAACATAATACTATACACACATAGACACATACTTACCAGACATGTCTAGGCTCAGGTACACATTAATTAAATATTCTGTACAACATGTCTTACGCAATATGTGTAATATTAATAACAAGAAGTTTCCATAAATTATTAAGACTTGGTACACGATCTCATCAATTCTAAATAACCTAGTTTGAATCTTATCACCTACTTATTTAAGTTGAAACTATTTCTTCTTAAATTACCAACCCACAATATCAATAAGAATTAATTTGAAATCTACTACTTACACACATCTAATTCACCATAACGTTGCATGGACAATAATAGAATATCCCTATTCGCAAACATGGAAATCAAAGAGGATTTTAATGAAAAAAATCAAAGAGACGGCTGAAACGAAAGATTCCCCAAGATGTGCTGCATTAGACACAAACACATATTAAAAAGGATGCGACATATGTATGTCGCTACCCTGAACACGCCCTTATTTATAGACAAACCTACTGCTTAATGTGCCACTGGCGACAGATCGCATTATAGAAGTGTTAAAAACAATAATAATCACATACCTAAATATGATCATTACATATGCAGATATACTAAATATCATTACATACATAGACAGATAATTTGGTATGATTTTGCCAGGTACCTTGCCTCTAAAGCACCCGATGATCAATATCGGTCTCACATACATTTCGTACACAGAGAAATGACAGTACTTTAATTTCGGGACTAATGGCTGGTCAAACTCGACTACGAGGCATAAGATTCACTAAATTAGTCTAAGCTGATTTAGTTTCTAAATTGTCTATATACAGTAAAATGAAGAAATTAGAAATTATATTTGAATCCATCAGTGTGAATTCTAATAAAATTCTGTACGTCTACGCTGCGTACGTACAGAATTTTACATAAATCTAAAGGTCCTAAGCAGTTTCAGTATCTACTAAAACCTCCTACTAAATATATTAGACGTAACCTTTACTAATAGTCGAACGTGTACAAGTAAATTATGTAGTTATAAGCTAATAACTCGTATCTAATCACTCAGGTATTTGCTTAAATGTTTTATAGAATTTACGAGACATGCATTTTTGAAGACCATATTTATTTGGTGAGAAGCTTTTAGTGTGTTAATGCTTAACTTGTTGCCTGCCAGTGGCAAATTTCAGTTTAATAAAGTGTTTAAATTACGAATAGAACGATTGAAATTATGAAAACTATATATATCAATAAATAGTTACAGACTACTTCTGGAGTTTAAGTATCAACTTCATGATTTTAATTGTTAGGTTGTCTTAATTTTCATATTTAGTAGGTAGGTTGGAGATAGGACTTTAAAAATTTTTGATATATCAGAAAATACTGCCCGGTATCTGTTAAACGTGTACCTAGTCTTTTATCTGACACCGGCAGAATAAATATGAGGGATAATGAGGTCTATTTTGCCATCACTATAATGGCTAACGTCCAGTCACGTATAAAATATAATCATTAATTCATTAATCAATCAATTAATAAAAAAACACATCATCAAATAAAAAAACCAGTCAATGTCATATCGACCCTAACCTACATAGTTGGGGAAAGCCCGACAAATGAAGTCTAACTAGATCGGAGGTAATATTCCTCTTCTCAAACCTTGGGGTCATTTACTTAATAGATATTAAACCAATATGTAGTGTATTAATACATTGAAGATATTTATCTACCTAGAATAGGTCTCTTCTTCTTCTCCCCCCCCCCCTCAGAGGTTTTCATCTGAACTTCTCTATTTTCTATTGGGAACGGGGCTCATTCAATGAATTTGTTACGGGCCCCAAACGGTACCGTTATTACGCCACTGGATCTATCTACACTTTGAATATTTTCAAATATTTTCATCAAGGAACTACAGACAGTAAAGTTTATCTTTTCATATTAAGTAGTTAATTAATTGCCAATAATGCTACAATCACAAGTTCTATTCATTAGGTAATTTTATAAAATAACGTGACTTGGCTTTTACGGATCCATTGGAATAACATATTCTTTGAAAAAAATTTATTAGGTACGTATATTATAATAGAACCGTCTGAGTTAATTATTTGAAAAAAATCGTTAGCTACTAAAAATATGTTTAATGATTCCAGTACCTACGTATTTTTAATGAATTTTAGACAAGTTGCAAAATAAACTTTGAAGTAGATATTATCCAGGTAAACGTCATAAATGGTCATGTAACACTAACAAAAACAGAATATTAATTATGAAATTTATTACTTACGCGTTTTATATTACCAACCTAAGCACAACATCATTATTTTATTTATTATATGAAATAAGTATATAAGCTGTAGTTATGATCAAATTATAATATCTCACATGAGTTATGCCATGCTTAGTTTAATATCAAATAACAATAAAATTGCAGTATGTCTTTTTAATTATCTTTAATCATTGTAATTAATAATAATTTTCACAAAATACTTTTAACAGCATTACAACACCTAATTAAAACAATTAGAGTACAGTGCCATCTATATTATTATTTAAAAGTAAACATTGTCGGTTCAGTTCTGCTACTCGACACTAGATGGCAGCTTTAACATAAGTTACTACCGACACCTGTAGAGTTCTGTGTGTACTATAACATTACTTTTAGTACATATTTTACTGTATAGATGTCACTAATCATAATTTCCAAATCATTAATAATATTTTTTTTTTGAAAAGAATAGCTTATTTTTTTGATAAGATAGATTAAATTATGTAAACGCTTTATTTATCCTTTAATGTCTAGCGACTCGACCCCGCAGTCAAACCATTGCAACGGTTTTATGGGGCTTAGATTATAAAATACTTAGGTACCTGTGTGATATAAAGATAAATAAATAATAATAAATAATTATTCATTCAGGGATAAATAAATGTGAATGAATTTCCTGTTTCGCAAACTTTTATTAATTTGATTCATGTTCTTTATATTTTAATTCATAATAAAAATTATAGATGGCGCTTAGAGAAATAGTCAGAATGAAACATCGTGTCAATTATTTTTTTTAATTAACTAATTATATTATTAGGTACACATAAACCATATTTCTTACAGTCAAACGGAACAACTTCTAACTATTTTTTTTTTTTTTTAAGGGGGGAAAATCATCGAATGACTGCTCCCGCCTGGGTGAGGCGGGAGGGAGTGTCAGACTCTTACTGACTAAAAACCACCCCGTTCCTTCTCCTGCACGTCGAGCCGGAGCCCCGGTTACCCGTACATACAAAGGATTCATTGATGTTGCTTTTAAAAATTATTTATGTACTAGATTGTAGTAGATGTCGATCTAGTCGAACCAGTACATATTGTTTACCAAAACACGACCTCCGCAGAACGCACGTGGCTACGGTTCGATGCTCGGCTTCCGTAGTGTTGCAAGCTACACAGTGCACGGTCGCGGTGGCCAAACGTCTAATATACGTACATCATACTCATTACTGAATTATCATTTACTTTGTTTTGTTTGTGTTGTGACTAGTTAAGTGAGCATGAAGTTCTAACATTTGTCTTGTTACACTTATCATGTTTTTCTTTATGGAATAGGAGGCAAACGAGCAGACGGATCATCTAATGGTAAGCGATGAGCACCGCCCATGGACACCCGCAACATCAAAGGAGTCACAAATGCGTTGGCCAGCAAGGTACCTTAAATTTAAGCCTTTTTGCAAGGAAGCAAGGAATTAGAGGAGTTGTGGAGGAAATATGGAGGAGAATTATGGAGTAGAGTAGGCTGCACGACATCGCCGCGACCGCGCACGCTGCTCATGACGAATAACCCCTCTGTGGTTCGAAACTAGAGAGCTTTTCTCAGTATATTCACATGAGTAACCCGCGATTTTAGTTAATTTAGTATGTCTCACGATAGTTATAATAAAAACGAAGCAAGGAATGTAGAAACTTACTTAAGTACCTACTACAACATGAACTTAGTTTCAAACATCTTTAAATAGTAGATTTCAAAGAAAAGTAGATAAGTATTATCGACTGTACGTCATCAACATAACAACAAGACATCAAATGTGGATTTGCCAATTAGAATCGACCTACATCCAGTGACTATAGCACATCAAATATTAGGTAGCTTAGTATTAAGGAAATAGGAATATTACAATTTGAAACGTCTACAAATAAGAAGGAATCTTAGAACCTATTATGCTACCCAATTATATGACAAAAAACCGGCTCCGTAACCATAGTGATAAATTACAAAAAAAAATATTTACAATCAATTTATTTCTACATAGATATTAGATATTCACGAATTCATTATACAAACAGGTGGTTCGATTTGTTACTAAAATCTATGTCTATTTTTAGTAACCATAAAACACTCTAATTCACATTTTGAATTAAATTTCAACTAGATTGGGTAGGAGCCTACCTATATATTTTTTCAAAATTACTACCTACAAATTTAATAGGGACCAGACAGCTTATAAACCCAATTCTTTTAACTGCGATCTCCAACCGGCTTACCAAGCATAGAATCTATAGCAAACCTATAAAATATGAATAAGGAGTCCCATAGTCCAGCAGTGGATTATCACAATTGATGACACTAAATATTAGTCGTATATCTAAATATTAATTAGAGTACAAATATGATAGTTTCTTTGTTTGAATGCTTGGATTTTTGTATGTTTGGATGATTTTATATTTGGATGTTTGAATGATTTGATGATTGGAGGATTGGATGTTTGTACGTCAATCATACTGACACTACTGGACTTAGAGTCAAAGAAGATTATTCGAGGGAAAGAAAATTATTTTCGTCGGAATGCTTGAAGTTTTACGAAAGAGATGAATGAACTATGTATCTAATAATGATTGAGTTTTTTAAATGTATTGTTTCTTTCAATTATATATATATGTATTGAGTAGTGTTGGTTGGTTTTTTGTACCGTTCTATTTGTATAAATAAATAAATAAATTAGGTGATAGGAAACTTTTTACTCGATTAAATGCTCCCATGGGATAAAGTAGGAATCATATTCTACGCGAATGAAGTGGCGGGCAACAGCTAGTGTTATTTAAAATCACAGACTAAACAATATTTTGATCACAAACATTAGAATTACATTTTCGACACCACCAATTAAATAAAGGTACACGCACAACAACCTACGCTACGCCTATTTCTTAATAAGTCTATTATTATTCATCAGCCACTTATCCATGAAAACGAGGTTAATTGTGTTATATTTTTTCTAAATTACTTGCAACGCTCTGTTTGAATCGCGACAGTTGTTCATAATTGTCTATGATAACTCGTATTATTGCTATTTTTATATTAAGTGATGAAGTAATTTTATGAAGCATGGCTAACCTTAGCAAAAAACGGCGTCAGTCAAAATTCATTTGACCCTTCTAGTCACACATAGATATCTCTGTCTTAAATTCTCACTGACTTAGATATTTAAAATTCTGTGGCTTTGAACCACTGCCTACATTTTAGCTCAAATTGTAGTCTACAAGCTAAGATTGATTAACTTCTAGGCTGTAGGTATGCAGCTAGTTGAAGTTACAGAAGAAGAACAGATACTTAGGTACTTAAACCGAAAAACTGCTTCAAATATTTCATCATCATCATCATCATCAACAGCCTATAAATACCCACTGCTGAGCAAAGCCTCTTCTCACACGGAGAAGGTTTGAGCATTAATCACCACGCTTGCTCAATGCGGTTTGGCAATTACAGACTTATAATTAGAAATTATAAGCCCAGGTTTCCTTCACCGTTTTTCAGTGGTGGCTAGATAATCTTAGAAAGTACATACTTATAACTCGGAAAAAGTCACATTGGTACTTGCCGTTGGTTGGTATATAAACCGCACCCTCATGCATGAGAAGCCGGCGTCTTAAACCTCCAGTCCACTACGACACAAATATTTCATCAATCCAATCTAATTAGAGCACATGCACGTATATATAACACGAACAAATCTGCATAACTTTAGCCACTAAAAGCTCCATGACTTCTGGTCGCATCACTTAATTTTATGAACAGTAACTCTAACGCCCTTATTGAAGGCAAGTCGGTGACCTTGAGGTCAAGAACACGCTTGGAATCTGGTCCTTGGATCCTTCGAAAGGACCCGATTCAGCCTTGACCCTTGTGACCTTGAAAAGGACCTTAATTCCTTAACAGATCGTAAAACCAAGTCCTTCTGTGATAATCTTTACGAGTACCCAAATTCTGCGTTAAATTGATATTGTCAGTAATAAATTTTACAACGTTAAAATATTTAAGATGTTTGTAACGCGTTTGTAGAGTTTTAATGGGATCTGTATGGTTTTGTTATGAAGATTTCAGTGCAATGCACTTGTAGCGCTTTAATAAACATTTTAGTGAAGAGCCATTACACCACCACAGATAAGGCCTACACTAGAACTGGCGATGGCGGGGAACCAGACGAAGTTACTGTGGGTACGGCTCCAGTTGGAACGTTGACTGATGTCCTAAATTCTACTACATAAATTATCCTCACCGGTAGACGATATGCGGTACGAGATATTAAATACTACACAAAGTGGTTACAAAAGATAAATATGTATAATTTTGAAAATTAACTCGTCGAGTACCGGTTTTGTAGACACAATTATAGAACAATAGGTTGCGGTCACCGGTGACCGCTTGGTGTTTGACAGTTTAAATTACCCTGATTTTTAACCGACTTCAAAACACATAGGAGATTCTCGGTTTAACCTATATGTATGTTATACCAATATCGACATACTTTTCTTTTGTCATTTATAGATTTAGGATCGAAAATCATAAACCATATTACTATATTATTACTATAAAAGATCATAACTATTTTTATTGTCCCTAGTTAGGTGATCAAATATTTTATTATATACTTAAATAACCTACATTAGTCAGTCTTGACCTACGCGAGATTAAATTAATAACGATTTGATTGTATCCATAATTATGTATCGACTTTTTTCTTTTCATATTTACACACATAAATGGAATTTAACACAATATCTCTAAAGCAATAAATCTTGAAGACTTAATTATCAACCCAAAACTACTTATAATACATGCTTTTAATTTCATCTACGAAATTCAGACATTAGTTTTTAAACTTAATACATAGTCCATATCTAGATCAGTAAAAAAACCAACTAATCTATTATTACTTCATTAATATTACGCTAATACTGATATCATTACCACGTAATGTTGTGATTGTACGAAACGACAATGTCGAAGTGTGTAACATTCAGAAAAAATAAGAAGGCCCACAACATATACACAAGTTCAAAGGTCTAAGAAAGTATTCCAATAAATTAAACACAGGCAAATATAAAGCTTCTTTGATAAAATATCGAATAGTGACTCATACATTAACGTAATATAATTATCTTATCACAAAAGATGAGTTCATTGTATAAAGTCAATTCTGACAAAGACAAAAAGATCGATATCAAAATTGGCTGCTTAGTAAGCCTTCTGTGTTTACCTTTTGATCGCTGCGTCAGCGATGCGGGTGCACCAGACATTGCTCTTGCGCATAAAGCAGATAGAAAGTACCGCACAGAGGTTTAGTCGTTCACAGTGCACGGAGAGGGGAACACGTCAACCTCGACGCAAATGTTACCGAACACACGCGGGAAATAGTTGCGTCTTTATCGTGAATTAATATTATATTAATTTTGTAAATTTTTCATTGAATATTACGTGGAAAACTGTTCATAATGGGTGTCAGTGCGCGGATTTATGTCTCGTTCCTTCTGATATCTGCTGTAGTTGCTGTTCCCGCGGGAGACCATAGGAAGGCTACTCTAAATATAGGTTAGTGCTTCCATTATTATATTTTTGTTGCTTTCCTTTTTTTACCAAAATAAATAGCAGGACAATATTGAAACCTAAAATTATTTTAGACATCCGAAAAAAGTACACCATAACCATGTTTTGCATTTACAACAGTACAGCATTGTTTCAACAAACCAGTCCAAAATATAGGCCAAACAATTTCGGAATAAACCTACATTTTCCATTGACAAAAATAATGCAAACAATAACTTTACATTACCATTACAAACAGTTTTGATTGCAAATAGAAAAAATGACGCAAGTCTATACGCAAGCTGTTTGAAAACGAAATTGCAAAATAGATAAAGAACTTTTACGGATAATTTCACAGTAGATAAAGTTGTCTGCACGCTTTTAGTGACAATGACCTACTGAAAGTGTCGACTTCGCGCCACTAATCACAGACTTCGACGGAATGCAAAAACTAGGCACGAAGACGTTTATTTAAGTAAATCCATAGCAAATAATATTTAAGAGGAGAATAAAGAAATCGGAAGCAGAAGTTGGAAAGCCTTATTCTGATTGGATATAATAATTGCGGAAACTAGATTAAAAGCACGATTGTAGTGAAATTGCGATATAGTATTATGGAACAAAGAAAACAAATGCGGATACCGTTCGGATAAAAACATTATGAGTTATTACCTAAATATACAAAGTAATTTTGGTCTTTATTGTGAGGAAATGATGATTCAAATTAGACTATTTCCATTCATGCTTATTTACGGCCCTTTGAAGTTTCCAAGTTTCGCTAATTAATATGAAACGCTTGGATTATAATCAGCAGAAGTAACCGAAGCAATTTACAGTAAATTATTCATTTATTGGCTAAGCAACAGCAGTAGTTAATGTGCGTATACGAAATGATTGCTCCAAATAAAGTGCATAGCTTTGAAAATCGTTAATTCGTAGTAACAAATTAACTATCCATCATTACCAATATCGACATCATGACCCAGATGTCAACGGCAAACAATTTCATATTTGATAACACCGTGAAAATTCACGATGTCAATCTGCATACCAAAAGAATCTCTAACTATTGCAATCTAAGTCTCATTTTCCCGTGATCTACCATTCCTATGTCCCAATTCTCCGGAAATAATGATTTAGATTGCATTGTTTATAATAACGGAGTTTTTGCTGGCCTTTTGTTGCACCGTTATTGTCTCATGTCTCTTAATATGAAATCCAATTGAGCTGAAGGTAACCTTAACACCAAAAACAATTCACGATTTCTGCTTCCAAAATGGGATAGAAATGATTATGTCATTATTCTACAATATCATCACTGTATAATTGTCCAAGGTGTATAAAATCAACAGCATACAGAAATGCTAGTAAATCGGTTGGTTGAATATTTACAAGGTTTCCCTTCTTCATTCCTAATATTGCTTAATTGCTTCAACCTCCACTGTAGGACGAGCAACAATAGAAACTCTGCAAGGCTCTTGAACACTTAATGTTTAAGCTGGATAAGTCAGCACCATTTCGGCACCATTGTTAGTTTAGCTGTCGGCGACGCACGGAACCGTTCACTTCCGAAGAACTTTGCTTTCTTGTGCAATCCACGTGAGATACTTCACGGGTCAGCCTCACTTGTTTTTGTTAGTTCAGTTAATGTCTTCACTCATTACCATTTCTATAGTGTCGTAATGGCCGTAACTAGGCTACGAACGTTCGCATGACTTACATTGTCCACGCTTAGTTCTTTTTATTTTTCTCCGCCACCAATGCTGTTGTCGTTGAATTGGCATTCTCGTTCGTATCAACAGGTGGTTTTATGTCGAACGTTATTAGCTTAATCTCGTCGGTCGGCTTAACGAGAATCGTTTGAAAAGGTGTTGCTCAGATCATTGATTGGTACTTTTGATTTCGGAGTTATTCTACCTGAGTGTTAGCGTGCATCCTTCCTCAGTTCAATACCCTCGACTCGTCGGTCCTGACACTCCGATATTGACAATGTGCACCGACATTTATGACTTTTTGCCAAGTTTTAAAACCATGCGTATAACTATGTATCCGAAGAAAATGTTGTCGCCCGTGCGGCGCCACATTTTTATACGCAAATATTTATTGGACGACCCTCGAAAATTCCAAATTTCGAATTTGATCAGAATTTTAAATGCACATTGTTTTATTTTAGGATGGAGGTAACTTGTTTTAGTTGGTAGCCAATATTTTTATTGCATACCTTTGGGAAATGTTTATGAACGAAGGCACTATTCGCCAAGACGACCAAAATGCCATAACTCGCATTCACCCTTCTCAAAATATTTTCGTGTTTCAAGATTAATTTCAATTTAGTCCATTCAATTATTAAGATTGCCTTGAGTTGAGGTTTCGTGTATTGACATTTAAATATTGTAAAGAACCTCTAAATTTTGTTGGTGCCCTTTTTAGAGTTTATAACAAAAGAATACCTTTAAACTAATATTATTTTCCCACACTTTAACAGGTGCTTTGTTTATGATGCAAAGGAGTTATAGATAACGGTAGCGATGTGGTAAAGCACGTTGGTCACGATCCACGCTTTATCGATAAAAATCGGTATGTTTTTAATTAATTAACGCAACATCACTATTGCAGCGTTAACAGTAAGTAATAATAGGTAATGTTATTTGTCATAAATTGTTATGACTTATCATCAAACTAGTGCAATGGTTATGTTATGACAACTATTTCGTTTGGACGAAATAAAACATCGTATGTTTCATTATTATTATGTCATTTAGTAATGTTATAATTATTGTGTAATGCCAATAATCGACGCATTACGATAAAAAATAATCGTCTGTAAATCGATAAAATAATTTGAAAACTGACAGTTTATTTTGCGCAAACATCGTTACAATGTGCTTGTAAGTGTTATGTGGTTAATATTATCGCCATTAACACGTCTATTGTGTTAGATATTTTAGTTTATATCTTTATTTGAAATATCAATATGTTTGGCCTCAATACTGAAATATTGGTCAGTCATTTTTGAAACATAACCGTTGCTAACGAGTGTATTGCGTTTGTCAGTGTCTACAATCTCATTATTTTGTAGTTAATTAAAAAAAATCAATTGACTTTTTTAAATTAAATTAAGAATTTCAAGATGCAATGTTTCAACACGGGCAGGACAAAAGGCGGTTCAAATGAAAAGTGGCGTAAGCAAGAACGCAATACTTTAATCTTGAGATAAGTACATGAAACTGGTAGGATTTAGAAACAGATGTTACAGAATGTCACTATGTTAGCAATTTGCTCGTATGCCTTTGTTCCTAAAACATGCAGATATGAGTGCAGGCAAGAACTTTACGAGCGAGCTCATTACTATAGAAAGAAAACATATACTTTTGTTATCTTCATTATTATGGTATAGGGCTTTCTTACGCTACTATTTAACGAGTAACTCGATCATTTTCAAGCTTCACCAGGGGCGCATATTCATTACGAGCATTTCGCGACACACGATGCGGCGAATGGCGCAGTTATAGCAACTTCTCTTGTTTGCACGTATTACTTGCCAAAAAGCTATTAAATATAAACAACAAGCATACATTTAGTAACTTTTAAAAGAACATTAATGCAAATTGCGTTTGCGGTTTTCATATACACACTACACAGTATGCATATTTCTCAATCAATCAGTTCACTCTCAAAATATTGGATACTTTTTCCTTGTGCTTAACTTTGTAACGTATTGATGTGGGTTTCTATACTAATTTCATATTATAAGGACATTTATTTCGACGTTATAATATCTCTCCAAATTTTTCCAAAGAAGTTTCCTAATAGAATATCTGACTTTTGTATGAAACCCCTTCAATCAACTTGGCACGCTTTATTGTCATCATCGCCCACGGCAGTGAACTCCTCAGCTGTTCGCATCAAACCATTATCATACACTTCGCGGATCCTTAAGACGTCTTCTAACTGTAGAGCATCCTAAATTATTTTTATCTAGGCGTTTTCACTATCGGCAATCTACCCCAACAACAAAGTCATGTAACAATTTTATTTTTAACCTATTGTTAAAATGCCAGGTCATATTTATCCTGTGCCAAAAAGCTTGGTAGAAATACTATTAACAAAGACCCAGAACTATTTCATATACATAAATACTATTTACAAACACACAAAAAAAATTAAATAACAAGAAATACACAGCATTCTCCCTGAACCTACTCAACGTAATTTCAATCCCAATCACAATCACAATGCTCATATTACATTCCCCCATTGCAATCAATCAATCAATCAATCGTAATGTTACTCTGCAGGTCAATGCTTCCACACAACTCGGCTCAAGGTGAAGTGAAAGTAAATCGAAAGCGCTATGGCACTGCACAAATGCTTTTATTGACCATTGACAATTTTTATAAATAAGGTTTGCATTTCTTTGTCAATGTAAACCCTTGCGTTACTTTTCTTTAAAATGTTGCATGGTCACCGAAGTTCATTAGTATGTAGGTAGATAAGAAAATAAAAATTGATTCGGTGCTCAAAAAGTAACTATCGCTTCTATACAAAGATGGTCAAGGTTACAAAAAATTTTAATATAGAGCTTCAGATAATTTAGAGTTAGAAGCATACAATTAGGTATAACAATAGCTACTATCTCTGGTTTATTCAATATCTGTATTTTCTTATCTGTATAGCAAATAACTTGGCTAGCTATCATATTCATAAATAAGTCCTTTACACCTGCTGTATACTATCAACATAGAATTGGTTTACACTTTCGACAGAATAATCGAAAGCCGAAATACTCAACAATACTTTGCCTCTCTCGCTCGAGTTTACCTATTTCATTGAATTATATTAAAAAAATCCAGAACTAATTTTTAATCAACACTCAAATGTACGCTACATTTGATTTTACAACTATATTATTTTGTTTATACAGTTATATTACGTAACTAATGTAAATTCATAAACCTGAGGAATTTTAATTTTTATAGTTACGTTTTGAATGCAGTTCGCAAATA